TTTGGCATATATCTTTGCATCAGTGTTGAGGAGGGAGATGGGTCGGAAATTTTTGCAATTGTCCGTAGGCTTGTCAGGTTTCGGAAGTGTCACTACCGTGGCCACCAGCATTTCAGGAGGGAGGGAGCCTGTCTCCGTCGCTTTGTGGTATACTTTGAGCAAGTGTGGGGTTAGTATGTCAATGAATGTTTTATAGTAGGTGTTGGGGAGTCCGTCTGCGCCTGGGGATTTTCCCGGGGGCAGGTTCTTAATTACCGCTCGGATCTCCTGCATAGTAATCGGTTCGAGTAGGGCTTTCGTGGAGTTGTGGTCCAACTTGGGGAGGTCTATATCCCGTAAATAGTTGCATATAGCTTGTGTGTCTGGGGCAGTAGCGCCGCCACTTGAGTCTAGATTGTATAGTTGTTTATAGAAGTGTGCAAATTCCTGTACTATGTCCATGGGGTTCATGAGTTTGTCTCCCGTGTGCCCTATTATGTATGGAATTCTATTTGCGGCCTGCTTTGTCCTGAGCCTGTTGGCTAAGTATTTAGATGCTTTACCACTGTGGTGGTATGTGGTGGCTTTTAGTCTGTGTAAAAAGTACTTGGTTTTTTGGGCATTAAAGTTGTTAAGGTCTTGGTACAGGTCACGTAATTTGTCTGCTAGGGCTGGTGTGGGTGTCTTTTTGTTTTGGGCCGTGGCTATCGCTATTTGCTTGTGGCAGTCCAGGAGGGTGGTTTGGTGGCGTCTTTTTATGTACGCGGATTGTTTGATGAACTGTCCCCTCATTACTGCTTTATGTGCGGACCACACCGTGTAGTCCGAGACTTCGCCCGTTGTGTTGGTGAGGAAGTACTCTCTGAGTTCTGTTGTCATTCGCTCAACGAACGGTTTATCTAGGAGGAGAGACTCATTCAGTCTCCAAGTGCCCCTACCATGGGTTTGGTATTTGTCATCTAAGTCAAGGTATACTGGGCTATGGTCAGACCATGTTATCTCTCCTAATTTGCAATCGCTCAGTTGTGGTAGGGTTTTGTTATCTATGAAGAATGTATCTATACGCGTGTAGGTGTTGTGGACCCTAGAATGGAAGGAATAATCCCGGTCAGTAGGGTGTAAGATTCTCCAACTATCGTGTAGGTTGTACAAGGCCAAGGTGTTGGTTATGCGTGTGCAGAGGGCTTGGGTCCCTGTTTTGTGTTTTCCCCGCGGGGAGGCCGTAGTGTCAAGGGTCGGGGATTGAATGAAATTAAAGTCACCACCTAAGATGAGTCCCCCTTGTTTGTAGGTATCAAGTTTAGACAGGAGAGATTTGAGGTACGAGGCTTGGTTGTCATTCGGGAAGTACGTTGTCCCTATGGTGTATTGTGTGTTGTTGAAAAGCCCAACCACTATAATATACCTTCCCGTAGGGTCTATATGGCTGTTTTGTGGAGTGAAGACCACGTCTTTGTGCACTAAGATGGAAACCCCTTTCGTTTTTGATTCTGACAGGGCGTGAAACTGTATAGGGTATAGTTTTGAGAAGAGGGAGGGTGCAGTGGGACCTCTAAAATGCGTTTCTTGGAGGCATGCTATATCTACTGAGTTCTTCTTAAGCTCGTGTAGAAGTAGTCTTCGTTTTTCAGGGGAGTTAAGCCCCCGTACATTATAGGATACTATTCTCATTCTGATGTGGTTTCCCTAGGATTCGCTGGGGTTGGTACCCGTGTATGTAGGTTGTCGGATTGTCTCTTATAGTGAGGTGATTGGGATATGGACTTTCCTAGTGGTTCAGTGTGATTAGTTATTGTAAAAGGAAGTGGTATGGAGGCAAGAGGGGGATGAAGGAAGGTCAACCTGTGTCCTCTGTTTTCGGGCCGTTTCTTATAGGGGGGAGAAAAGGGGGTAGGCGAGGGCATAGCCCTGTTAGGCTCCTTTGGGTCGAGCCTTAGTGCGGCGCCCGAAGGTCGCTCGCGCGTTAGTGGGGTTGTGAAGTTGGGACTCTCCCGTAAGGAGGGAGTCACTCGATCCAGCACGCACCGGGGCACTATGGGTGCAGGTGTCATTAGCCGTTGTTGCATGTTTTTTTTTTGTTTTTGTTTTTTTTAAGTATATGTTACGGTGCACCAACTCCCTAACCTATTGTAATTGGGCAGTGTCAAAATCTAGCCGAGAGTATGTCTCTTTAGCTACTGTAGTAGTTGGTGCGTGGGGAAGTCAGGGGGCCTCAGTAGTCCCTTTTGCAAGTTTTGGGTGTGTAGCAGTAGTATAACAAAACATAAAATGTAAAACAGCATAATAACTAGTGCAACAAAATAGTTCATAACTTGGGTGAGCGTCTTACGTATACCGCATGGGTATGGAGGCTCTTTATCTGGATGCCCAGTCTTGAGTCAGACGAGGAACTTTCGCCGGGCCCGTTTTCGCCATCTCTGCCAGCGGGATACCCCAACAGCGTACGGGTCCCTATGTCCTGCAGATCCTTTCTGAGCTCAGCTGTCAGTGTGAGCATTTGAGCTCTGAGGCTCTTCTGCACTGAGTCCGTTAATTCTATCATCATGCTCCTCATGGTGGCCACCGTGAGGGGCTGGTCGTCCACACTCATTCCAGGGGAGGCTGGGGAAGCGGGTGAGCCCTCCCGCGATCGCGGCGGGCCGCCATCTTGTTCCTGGGTTTCCCGCGTTTTCATCTGTGCGGCTTTTGCTAAGAAGAAGGACGCTTTATCCGCTTTCGCGGGTTTGCATTTTTGCCTCTGGGACATGGTGGGTACTTGCATGGATGCTTGCGATGGGGATCGCTTGTTAGACCGATTTGTTTATTGCCCCGTGCGGCTCGATCGGCGGGAGCTACTCCGACATGCGGCCGTGCAGCTCGAGCGCCAAACCACGCCCCCCTCAGTTTCCTTTTTGATAGACTCTTTGGCGACAGATTCTCAAATTCTTTGGGTGATTGAGATGAAGAGTCCGAAACATTCTGATGGTCTATTTCCTGTTTCTGTGTTAGCAACGGCGCTGAAAAGGAGAGCCTCCTATCAGTCTTGCCTTCTTGTTTCTTTTCTCTGTCTCTCTTGGTAAGCTGTTTGTTATCTTGGCCTTTCCTTGATGCCATGGCAAAAGAAATATATATATATCTCTCTCGCTCCTTTTTTTTATCCTTTTTGATCCAGGTTCACTTAATTGCACTGAGAAACGTTATGCATCTTGGTTTCTCCCTTAGTCCAGAGTGCAGAGGAAGTGCTTCTTATCTTGAACAATTATCTTAAACAGTTTATTTATTAATATGTTTTTGAGACCTTCAGAGACCTTCAGAGTACTACTCAGCTGTTCAGATATCATAGGTTATAGGTCTTATAGGTCTTAAAATCTCTAAAGAGCCTTTTATACAGCTCAAGTTCTCATGCAAGTACTTCTGTACCCTCTATTTCATGCCCCTGTCTCACAGGACTCACTTGTCTGCCGGTTGTAATTAGGGGAAGCCAGTTCATCCAGTCTTCCTCGCACTGGGCGTCCTCAGTATCCGCCACTCCAACTCTAGTGCTTACTCGAGTGCTTGTTAGACTCCATGCCTCTGTCCTCTAACATGCCTGCACCTTCCTGCGGCTGTGTGCAAAAAAAAAAAAAAATTTTATCGCGAGTAATCACACTCCCTGGTGCTTGACTGAGCTGCGGCTGCGGCTGGGCTGCGGCTAGGCAGCGAGTTTCAGTGCGACTTCGGCTTCGGCTCTTGTACGGCTTCCCGATCCGTCGCTGCTTCACTCCCCTAGGGCGTCAGCATCTCCACGAGGAGGACGTGCGCTCCCGTACAGTGCTTCCGTCCTACGTCATCGCTCCTCCCCCCTGAATTCTACTCTAACTATTAAACATGCAATTCACATTTACTAAAGTTTAGTCTGTGGATGTTTGATAACTAGAAGGATATTATGGCACTAGAAAGTGCAGAGACGGTCTACAAAATTAATAAAGGCAATGAAGCCTTTTAGCTATGAAGAAAGGTTAAATTAAATCTCTAAGTTTGGGAAAGTATTGCCCCAGAGGGGATATGACAACATTGTACAAATATATCCAGGGCCAATTCAAACCATCGTGTGCTAATGTATTCACAATAGTGATGTCCCGAACGGTTCTCCGAACAGTTCGCCACGAACGGTTCGCCATGTACTCATCATTGAGTAAACTTTGACCCTGTACCTCACAGTCAGCAGACACATTCCAGCCAATCAGCAGCAGACCCTCCCTCCCAGATCCTCCCACCTCCTGGACAGCTCACTAAGAATGCAGCTTCACAATTAATGTAAAATGGATGCTGTCCAGGAGGTGGGAGGGTCTGGGAGGGAGGGTCGCTGCTGATTGGCTGGAATGTGTCTGCTGACTGTGAGGTACAGGGTCAAAGTTTACTCAATGATGAGTCCATGGTGAACCATTCGGTGAACCGTTCGGGACATCACTAATTCACAAATAGGACACGAGGTCATGTGTTAGGAAAGAAAGAATTAGTCTAAGACGAAGGAAAGGGTTCTCCCCCCACCCCCCAGGACAAACACTTGGGCTGTCGAATTCCCTGCCCGAAGAAGTGGTTTTCAGTCTGTACAGATGTTTAAACAGCAACTAGATACAAACTTGCAAAAACAATATTCAATTATATAACTTTTCAATGTAGGGGAATAGCTGCTTAATCCAACGATTATTCTGACTGCCATTTTGGGATCAAGAAGGATTTCACCCCCTCCTCCCCCCAGTTTGTTGTTTTTTTTTAATTGGAAAAACAGATGTGAGGAAGGCTGAACTTGATGGACACGTCTCTTCAGTCTATAACTATGAATTAAAATCTATCAAATGCAAAAAAAAATGATAGTGTTATGGGCGGCATAATGATGATTTAACAAGCAGTGCTATGGGCGGCATAATGCTGATTTAACAAGCAGTGCTATGGGCGGCATAATGATGATTTAACGTGCAGTGCTATGGGCGGCATAATGATGATTTAGCGTGCAGTGCTATGGGCGGCATAATGATGATTTAACAAGCAGTGCTATGGGCGGCATAATGATGATTTAACAAGCAGTGCTATGGGCGGCATAATGATGATTTAACGTGCAGTGCTATGGGCGGCCTGGCATAATGATGATTTAACGTGCAGTGCTGTGGGCAGCCTTGCATAATGATGATTTAACAAGCAGTGCTATGGGCGGCATAATGATGATTTAACGTGCAGTGCTATGGGCGGCCTGGCATAATGATTATTTAAAGTGCAGTGCTATGGGCGGCCTGGCATAATGATTATTTAATGTGCAGTGCTAGGGGTGGCCTGGCATAATGATGATTTAACAAGCAGTGCTATGGGCGGCATAATGATGATTTAACAAGCAGCGCTATGGGCGGCATAATGATGATTTAACGTGCAGTGCTATGGGCGGCCTGGCATAATGATGATTTAACGTGCAGTGCTATGGGCAGCCTTGCATATTGATGATTTAACGTGCAGTGCTATGGGCGGCATAATGAAGATTTAACGTGCAGTGCTATGGGTGGCCTGGCATAATGATGATTTAACAAGCAGTGCTATGGGCGGCCTTGCATAATGATGATTTAACGTGCTGTGCTATGGGCGGCCTGGTATAATGATGATTTAACGTGCAGTGCTATGGGTGGCCTGGCATAATGATGATTTAACGTGCAGTGCTATGGGCGGCCTGGCATAATTATAATTTAATGTGCAGTGCTATCGGTGGCCTGGCATAATGAAGATTTAACGTGCAGTTTAAATTTATCATTAAAATGGGCTCTGGCTTTGAAGCCACAGCACAGACAAGACGAAAAAGCCCTGACAGCTGCTTATCTGGTCAACCTTGTCATCAATTTAAGAAGTATGAGGGGATGAAATTTAGAATAGTATTTTTAATTTTATATGTTTTGTTTTTCTATTTGAAATTGAAATCTGGTTGCAGTTTAGTTTAGATGTTCATGATCTTTAGATATATATATACACACACACACACACGTTTTATAATTGCCCCCCCCCACTTTTGTCATTGGCCCCCCATGTACCTTCCCTAAATATGAATGCTGGAGACGCCACTGGGGCTAATCCCTAATCCATTGGTGGTTCTGAGGGTGGTGTCCAATCGTCCAGCTGATCCCATTTTCTCTTAATTCATTTTTAATTTTTTTTTTTGCTTGAATCAGTCGGCAACGTCACTTCCGGTCCAGCCGTAGTGACATTTGCGTTCAATGCGGTTGTTATTTGCATTCCACCCTCAATCTAACATGGCAGCCGCAATTGTTATACACTCTGTCTTGTAACAGGGCACTGCCATCTTAGCTCCCACTCAGCCATTGTTATACACTCAGTCCTGTAACTGGGCGTCTCCATCTTAGCTCCCCATCAGCCATTGTTACACGCTCTGTCCTGTAACTGGGCGTCTCCATCTTAGCTCCCCGTCAGCCATTGTTATACGCTCCGCCCTTTACACCTGGCAGTCAGTATAGAGAGAGCCACCTCCATCTTAGCTCCCTGTCAATCATTGTTATAAGCTCCGCCCTTTACACCTGGCAGTCAGTATAGAGAGAGCCACCTCCATCTTAGCTCCCTGTCAATCATTGTTATAAGCTCCGCCCTTTACACCTGGCAGTCAGTATAGAGAGAGCCACCTCCATCTTAGCTCCCTGTCAATCATTGTTATAAGCTCAGCCCTTTACACCTGGCAGTCAGTATAGAGAGAGCCACCTCCATCTTAGCTCCCTGTCAATCATTGTTATAAGCTCCGCCCTTTACACCTGGCAGTCAGTATAGAGAGAGCCACCTCCATCTTAGCTCCATGTCAATCATTGTTATAAGCTCCGCCCTTTACACCTGGCAGTCAGTATAGAGAGAGCCGCCTCCATCTTAGCTCCATGTCAATCATTGTTATAAGCTCCGCCCTTTACACCTGGCAGTCAGTATACAGAGAGCCGCCTCCATCTTAGCTCCCTGTCAATCATTGTTATAAGCTCCTCCCATTACACCTGGCAGTCAGTATAGAGAGAGCCACCTCCATCTTAGCTCCCTGTCAGTCATTGTTATAAGCTCCGCCCTTTACACCTGGCAGTCAGTATAGAGAGAG